AATAAGTGTGGGTTTTATGTGGTGCATAGCTCTTCCTCCTTGTGCCCGCCATCTTGTTCCTGGTTCCCAGTTCCTTCTGTGTTGAGCCATAAGCTGTTTCTGTCCAGAGTGCAGAAAAGTGCAAATAGATTTATGTTGTCAGTGGTGGGTGCCCTGCGTAAGTGATCTTTCAGGGTCAGCTAGAAGGAACTCTTTGGGGACTTCTATTATCACATTCAGTAACTCCACTGCAATGTTACTCTTTCCGTGAATAATGCTGCAGGCCTGTTAGGCATGTGACATGCAGTGGCTGCGAGCATGACAGAGTCATACAGACCTAGGTTTCTAATCCTCACTTCAACGGTGGGGGGGAGAGAGGGGAGGGCGGGATGGGTTGGGGGGTGAGTGCACATGAGCAGGGGGGGAGGGGCAGAGAGAGAAAGGGAGAGAGAGAATTCCAAAAAGACTCTGAGCTGAGCTTGGAGCCTGTTGGGGGGCTCGATTCCACAACCCCAAGATCATGACCTGAGCCGAAACCAAGAGTAGGACACTCAACCAGGCACCCCAGTCACTTCAACTCTTGTTTGCTTTGTGATCTTAGGCAGGTGCTGTAAAGTCTCTATGCCCAGTTTCCTCATCAGTCACAAATAATGATAATGATATCATAATACCATCAACTTTATGAGACTTCTATGAGGAAGTAAGGGAGTAGAAGGAAAGCACATAACACTCTGATCACAATGCCTTATACGTAATAAACACTCAGTAAATATTAGCTGCTAGTGTTAATGATATACTAACAGTGTTAACAATGTTACTTTAATGTTATTATTTTAAACTAAAACAAGTTAGAAACCAAAGTAACGTTTGTGAATTCCATAACAAAGTACCTGTCACAGAATGCGTTTGATAAATATACATTCCAAGGAGGACAGGAGGGAGAAGCAGATAGAGCATCTTACAGTTGTTGGAGGTTTATAATACAATCATAGTTACCACACTCCTCATAAAATAAGAATAATAATAGTAATGTTAATAATACTTAATGAGTATCTACTGTGTGCCCAGAATTATTCCAAACACATTATATATAATAACTCATTTAATAGTAGCAAGAACCACATGGGATAGGTATTAATGTTATCTCTCTTGTACAAGTAAGAAAACCGAAGCACAGAAACATCAGATACTTTGACCAAGGTCACACATTTAGCAAGTGGGGATTGAAAACAAGGTTTTGAACCCAGCTATCAAGAGTAAGAGTTCTGAGTTTGGAGAATTAGGCACAGGCCGGATCCTTAGGGCCCCACCATTAGAATTGGAAGCCCTTGAAAGTTTTTGAACAGAGGCTGATGGCATCTCATGTACATTTTAAGAAAATCAGGGGCGCCCGGGTGGGTGGCTCAGTCGTTAAGCGTCTGCCTTCGGCTCGGGTCATGATCCCAGGGTCCTGGGATCGAGCCCCACATCGGGCTCCCTGCTCGACGGGAAGCCTGCTTCTCCCGCTCCCACTCCCCCTGCTTGTGTTCCCTCTCTCGCTGTGTCTCTCTCTGTCAAATAAATAAATAAAATAAAATAAAAAGAAAATCACTGTGTGGCTGTTAAGCAGATCTAGAAGAGTTGACAATTTGTCCTGTGGCTGCAGAGTTAGGCGGTGTTGCCATCCGGCACAACTCTAGGGGGCACCTTCTCATTGTAGTCTTTGTAAATGGAGTCCCTTGGAATCAAAAAGTAGAGGTCTGGGTGGTGGTCGGGTTCACCTTTATCGAGTGTGGTTACAAGGCAAGGGTGAGGGTCAAGGACAATGGGAAGTAGCTATGTAATGACTTATCAGTGCATTTCTCACCCAGAGTATCACTGTTCACCTGCCAGAGTGAAAACGTAGACTCCCTTTGCCAATCCAGGCATCGTGGTGGTTTCCACCCAATGGCCAAACATGCCAGGCACCAACGAGAGAGACCACTGGCAATTTTCATTCAACTTAGAGGAATGACAGGGTTTTTGTGAATGCTGCCAACTTACCGAAGGACATTTGATGAGTCTGCTAAGCTTGACCTCCTTTTCCTCTTTTGTATGACTGTCAAGCGAAGCTATGATCCAGTTGACAATATAATATCGTCCAGGTCATCAGTTCACTCTGAAAACCGTCACATCCTTCCTTAGAAATCTCTGGGCAAGTTGAGTTAATGACAAGGAAGCAGCCGAGCTTTTAAGACATAGCATGTCATTAAGCTGTAAGAGCAATTTAAGCAAAAGCATTTTTGTGTTAAATTCAGAACCTGCCTCTTTTTACAGTTATATGACTAATTCTTTCCTGAGGCATCAGAAATAAACTTTTTAGGAGAACTAAATGCTAGCTGTGAAAGAAGCAAGTCTTCTAGAGAATAAACAAACCTTAGAGTCGGATTGCCGAGACAGTCTCCAAGGCCATCCTTTTCTGGCATCTCAGAGATTAAACTATTTCAGGACAGATGGCTTCTCTTTCAGAAAATTTCCGGTCTAACTTGCTATGTATAGCAGTCTGGCCGCTTGAAAAAAAAAAAAAAAATCACCCTGAAAGTTGAGGAATTCTTTCTATTCAACTCACGTCTCTAAGGCTTTAATTTAAACCAATTTCCTCCTTTTGGCCTTCTCTGGACATGGAGACTGGTCAGCACCTTCCACATACAAGGGCTTTTAATCACATTACTCCTAACTTGCCTTTTCTTCAGGCTAAACACTTCCCACTTCCCTTCACCTTTCCACATGGGATTTAGCCTCTGTCCCTGTAATCACTTTGGTTGGTCTTTCCCTAGACGGTCTCCAGAGAGTCTTTGCTAATTCCTTCCATGTAATTTTAAGAAGTTATTTTCTGTAAGGAAACTCTGAACCTTCTGTCATGTATGGATGTGTTCAGTTCCGAGTTGGGTTGTCCTATCAAGTGAGTACACATTGCCAGGTTGAGGAGATTGGATTTTTTCAATACCTCCAATTATCTTCATCTGAGTGGGTCACATTTGGCAGAGTAAACAGTCCAGTTTTCTTAATTTTTCTGCTGTTACTGCCTTTCTCTGTTAACTATAAATAAAGAAAGAAGGAACATCGCAAGGAAGACTGGGAAGAAAGGAAATTTTGAATAGCTACCATAGGAGTTGTTAGAAGTTACAAGACTGGTGGAGAATTGGAATAACACCACAGGACCAGATGACTTTTGCTTTTAGGCTGGTTGAGAGATCATACTGGCTCTATTACCTTGATGAAAAAGCAGAAAAGGTTTCATGGTTTGTTATCACTTTCCATCTACAGAATTGGAGGGGAGGTGGCATGATAGGTGAATACAGGTACTTAAGTGATTTTTCTTGGCTATGATCACTATGCACATTCATTGCTTTCTCATGCAAAGAGAAGGAGTTTCAGATCAAGCAGGTCAATTTTTGTGACATTGTCTGAAGCTGTTTGAGAAACACTGGGGTTAGTTCCAGGCTTCAAGATGACCATCCGGAAACCCAGGTTGGGGGGGCGCCTGGCTGGCTCAGTTGGTAGAGCATCTGACTCTAGATCTGAGGGTCGTGAGTTCAAGCTTCATGTTGAGCATGGAGCCTAGTAGAGAGAGAGAGAGAGAGAGAGAGAGAAAGAAAGAAAGAAAGAAAAGAAAGAAAGAAAGAAAGAAAGAAGAAAGAGAAAGAAAGAAAGAAAGAAAGAAAGAAAGAAAGAAAGAAAAGAAAAGAAAAGAAAGAAAGACCATCGTAATGTTCCTGTATATTTAACATTGGTGTTGGCCACCCTCTGGTCCCCGAAAGCCTAGGGCGGCCACTCATTGGCTGCTTGGGAAGCATCTGACATCATTCGTCTTATAATTCTCTGCTGCAGAAAGCATTTTGATTGGGTATTCAGTGAGCCAAATGGGCCAGAAAGAGTTCATTCAGTTTCTCTCTTTTTCATTCCATTTTCATCCCCCACTTCAAGGAATTAGTATTTCCCATGGCTGGGCATTTTAGATTAATTTTATTTCTTTGGTGACCAAGATAGCTTTGTGGTCCACTGAAAACAGATCTCTGGCACCCAGCCTCAGCTTCATTTCTCTTACATCAAAACATTACTGTGTGTGTGTGTGTGTTTTTAATGAGCAGAAGATTGAGGGCTACGGAGAATCCTTTTTAATAATGGAAATATGACCCTGAAGTCCTGATTTTTTTTTCTTTGCTTTTCCATAAAAGTTTGGTCCGTAGCCTTGTGGAAAGTATTTTTTAATAGTATGAATAATAATGATCGCAGCTAATCCTTACCATGGACTAAATGGCTGCTAAATAATTTACATTCATTTTAATCTTTTCAATGATCTTATAAGATAGCTGCTAGTATTATATCTGTTTTATATTACATATATATATATATAATGTTTGTATATATTGAGTTACTGATGCTTTAATGGTTTGACTATGATTACCCATCTGGTAAGTGTTGAAATTGGGTAGTTTACCTCACGAGCCATGCATTTAGCAGCTTTCTGCCTTAGCAACTTTGCTGAACTGAATCCCTAGTACATACGCAAGAAGATGCTTTAGTAAAAAGTGAATCACTAGTATTTACTGAGCTCTTCTGTGCCTGGGACTGTTTTAAGCACTGCACATGGGTTATCTCATTGAGTACTGGCACAAACCCTATCAGGGTGGGCACTGTTGTAATTATCACTGTTTTATTGAGGAACAGTTGAGGCTCAGAGCAGGGAAGCAGCTTCCTCAGGGCCCCAGAGCAGGTGAGCTGTGGAGCTAGAATTTCCATCCAGGTCGTCTGGCTCCGGAACCTGCCAGTTTCGCCATAGCCTTGTGCTCCTTCCCAGAATACTAACGGTCTTGCCAGGGGGCAGAGCAGAAGGACTGGAACTCTTTTCTGAGACACAAACTAAAAGAGTTCTGTACAAGTCTCCTCCGGTGGAGTGTTCTCCCGGTTCGCGCACCCCCCTCCCCCGGCCCCGCGTTGTACCTCATCGCTTTTCTCATTCTTGGTTTTTTCCCCCCTCCCCTCTCTGGTTCTCTGTTTAGCTCGAGGCTTTTTACTCCATCTTCACTACAGAGCAGCAAGACCACGTCAAGTCGGTGGAATATCTGAGAAATAACTTCCGGCCACAGCAAGGTCTGAATGACAGGGTGGTGTCCAAGTCTGCGGTCCGCGACGCCTGGAACCACGACATGACGGACTTCTTAGAAAACCCACTGGGGACAGAAGCCTCTAAAGGTATATTTGGATTAAGTGCCCCTGCCCGGAGGAAGATTCCTTATCATAAATTACTTTAAATTAAAAGGAGTTCCAAACCAGCCAAGAGTTGGAACTTGGTGTTAAGAACATATGTTTCTCTGTTAAAAGAGGCTTGTCTGGATGATAAATAGAAGCAGTTGTGGGAATAACTTCAGTTAAATAGATATGTTCAGAATTGCCCTTTTGACTAGTAATACGTCAGTCATCCTGTTGGTATTTTTACCTTGTAACATCAACACTAACTAGTGGATGTCTAAAGGCAGCTCTTGGGTTGCAGCTCTCTTACCTTGCACCCGCCCCTCCACCCCCTGCCATTGGGATCAGGACACTGTCTCTGACCTCAGGCACCAGCACCTTTGACTTGTCCCCCAGCACTCCACTCTGCAGCCTGCCCTTACCTCCTTACTGACCTCTTCCACACCAGGCAGGACCTCCCCCTCCGGCTCTCCATCCCTACCAGATGCCATGTGGCCTTTTTAAAACCATTATTTAACAGTTTGATTCCCATCTCCGATAAACATGAGTTTATTCTTTTCAGGCATCTTAATCTTTTTCCATTTCTACATTCTCATGTGAATTGAACATAAATTTCTCTCCCAGGAAACTAGAAAGTCAGATCCTACCCTCAGAGCTCAACTTCAAGCTCCATGATTTGTCCTCATTGTGGCTTCAAGTTCGGGAAACACTTAGAGAATAAGGCTGATCAAAATTCCAGTACTTGGTGGGGGGGGTGCGCCTGGGTGGCTCAGTTGTTAAGCGCCTGCCTTCGGCTCAGGTCATGATCCCAGGGTCCTGGGATCGAGCCCCGCATCGGGCTCCCTGCTCAGCAGAGAGCCTGCTTCTCCCTCTCCTTCTGCTGCTCCCCCTGCTTATGCTCTCTTTCTCATTCTCTTTCTCTCTCTCTCTCAAATAAATAAATAAAATCTTAAAAAAAAATTTCAGTACTTGTAAGGGAGGACGGAATAAGAAGGACTTTTCTTTGGCAGGGAGGAAGGAATAAGAAGGAATTTTCTTTGGAAGGGAGGAAGGAATTAGAAGGAATTTTCTTTGGAAGGGAGGAAGGAATAAGAAGGAATTTTCTTTGGGTGTGAGGAGATGGTTCTTTCCAGTGATCTCCTCTCCGAAATTGTGAGTTTGGGTCATATGGGAAGGGCTTGTGTCATTAATCAACACTGGACACAGACTGTGTTATTTTTAGTGGGCTAAGTTACGCGGGGACATTTTGTTTCACGAGTGCCCCCACCCCCAATAAAAAGGACCAATTTACTGGCATATGACCTTTGTAGGAACAAGTGGGAGATGCAATTATATTCCACAAATAACTGCATTGATGTGCATTTTGATGATAAGAATGAGCCCATTTTCCAGGCTCATACATCTGAAAAGAAGCTAACAGAAGAGGAAAAGGAGCTTAAGAATGTGATCATTTCCTTCTTGTGATTTTGTGTGAGGATGGTGAGAGAAGCTAGTCTGGCCATATGCCATCAAGAAACGCTTGAGAGTCAAGTAATTTGGAGCTGACACTTTGTCAAGGGCGTCATTTGTCAGCTGGGAACAATGGGTGGGTTAAGAAGCATGCAAACCCAGGAAATGTCTTAGGTTGGCCAGCATAGCACACCTCACTTGGGCTAATTTTGTTTTTTAACCAAGCTAAAAATAAAGAAAACGACCAAGCTCGAAAGCTTTCTCCCAAGAGAACTTGCTTGGGAAAAGAAGAATCTCTTAGGGATTGAGTATTTTGTGAGAGGTGAATGCGGAGGACGTGTGGGGGATGACGAATTTATATCGCAAGTGAATGCAAGATCTGGTAGCTCAGAATTGCTGAGGTTATGACAGTTACAAAGTTCTTTCCTAAAAAATGGGTTGAGTACACAATATATCAGCTGTGCAGAGGGAATGCATGGCTCTTATTACCCAAAAAAGTCAGAGAAGATAATGGTCTCTGTCGCATTAAATTGTCAAAGGGGGCAAGATCTTCTACTGAATGGGCTTTCTCTGGATTTGAGCAGAGCCTTGGACCCTACCTTAAATATAGGGAATCAGTTCTTCATACTACAAGATTTTGTTGCAGTTATCATGGTGTGTGTGTGTGTGTATTGCTGACTCCTAAAATGTGTGAATATTGAAATGTTTTGTGATCTTTTTAGAAGCAGAGAAGGTAAGTAAGTACAGTCCTATTTGTGTTTTAAGCATAATCCTGGAGTGTAGCATACAGAAAAGTGTACATGCACCACCTGATGCATTTTCACCCCCCAAATAGACTTGAATAGCAAACCCCCAGGTCAAGAGACGAGCATCACCGGCTTCCCAGGGGCACCTCCATCTCCTTCTTCCTAGTAACTGTCCATTCCCGCGGGTAACTGTGAGCATGAATTAGCTTTGCCTGTTGTTGAATTTCATAGAAATAGAATTACCCACTCTGTCCTTTTTTGTGTCTTGCTTTTTTCACTCTACACTGGTTTTGAGGGTCATCTATGCTGTTCCATGCAGTTGTGGTTTGTTCTTACTGCTGAATTTCATTGTGAGACTCTACCTGAATTTATTTATCCACTTCAGTATATATGAATTGTATGGATGGTTTCCACATTTTTGTGATGATGAAAATTCTTGACGGTGCTTTTTGATGAGCATCTGGACACATCTCTAGTGGGTATGAACCTGGGGGTACAGAGACGGCAGCCTGCAGTACACATATATGTTCCGATTTGGTTGGATACTGCTCAACAGTTCCCCAGAGTGATTCTATGAACCATGCTATACTCTTGGCCAGCAGTCGGTCAGGGTTTCCTGCTTTTTTTATAGCATAACATACATATCATAAAATACAGCTATTATAAATGTACAATTCAGTCATTTTTAATAAATTTAGAGTTATAGTTCTGTTTATAGTTATATATGATCCAGTTTTAGAACATTTTCATCACCCCATTGAAGTTCCTTCAATTCTTTCTCCTGTCCCCAGCAACAGGCAACCTCTGATCTGCTTTTATCTGTCATGTGACATTAGGATTTTAAGATTGTAGCATCCATCAGTAGCTCATTCCTTTTTATTGTACACTAGCATCCCTCTGTTTTTTTTAAAAACGGCTTTATCGAGATTTCATTCACATGCGATAAAGTTCATTTTTTTTTTAAAGCATGCACTTCAGTGGAATTGAGTATATTCACAAAGTTGTTCATCACTACTACCTACTTCCAGAACAGTTTTATCACTCCCCAAAAGAAGGTCCATACCCATTAGCAATCACTCACTCCTTCTTCCTCCCTTTCTTTCTCCCATTCCTCTCGCTTTCCCGGCCTGAGGCAACTTTCTGTGTCTGTGGATTGGCCTGTTCTAGATATTCCATATAAATGGAATCATACAATATATGCCTTTTTGTCTCTGGCTTCTTTCAGTGTAATATTTTGGCATAATATTTTCAAGGTTCATCCATACTGGAATAGAGCTCAGGATTTTTCATTTGATGGCCAAATAATGTATCATTGTACGAATATACCACAGTTTATCTGCTTATCAATGGATAGATGTTTGAATTTTTTCCACTTTGTGGCTGTTGTCAGTAATACTGCTATGAACATTCATGTTCGACTTTTTGTGTGGACATAGGTTTTCAGTTCTCTCAGATGTATACCTAGGGGTAGAATTGCTGAGTCACATGATAATTCCAGTTTTCCAGTTTTGAGGAACTGCCCACCTGTTTGCCAGAGCCCTTGCCCCAGTTTGCATTCCCATCAGCAATGTATAGGATTTCTTCACATCCTCACCAACACTTGCTATATGTCTTTTTTTATTTTAGCCATCCCCGTAGAGGTGAAGTAGTACTGATTTGCATTTCCCTAATGACCGATGATGTCCCTGTTTGTTTTTAAATGCACATTTCATGGAATCATGGTCTACATGACCAAATGCTCCTCCTTTTTTTTCCTCTAAGAAAACTCAGGTAATTCCATGGCATGATGGGCCAAAAGCCAGCCACAAATGCTCACAATCAGGCAGGCAGCCTAGAGGGCATAGATTATTGACCTTAGACATTTATGCAGTAAAGAGTCCCAATAGAAAGGAAGAGTCCCTTTCTCTTCTCCAGTCTTCTGCAAAAAAGATTTGAAAGAGAAGGATGGTGTCCTATAATCTTCAGGTAATTCAACAAAATGAAGCCTGTCTGGTTGGCATTCTGTATCTGATCACTATTGGAAATTTTCAGTGCCTAAGAGAGCACAGTGTTGACCGTGGAACTGTGCATTTATTATGCTATTGTTATAGAAGAAAGAAAAATAATTACTTAAGACAAGAGTCAGTAAGCTTTCTTGATTAAGGACCAACTAGTGAGCACTTAGTCTCTTGTGGAAACTACTCACTCAGCTCTGCCACTCTGGCATGAGGGCAGTCATGGACAATATACAAATGAATAGGTGTAGAAAACACCTTCCCAAAACACCTTATTTACAGAAGTAGGCAGCAGGCCAGATTGACCAACTGGTCCTCTAGGGGATGCCTCAAAGGAAGATGGAGAAACTCAATCATAGGCTCAGTTTAAGGTAAATATTTTCTGTCTTAAAGATGGCGGTGACCATGACCATGAAGCATTGGGTGGTTCTACTTCTCCATTCCACTGCAAGACCTTAGGACCAGTTAGATATTTATTAACTCAGTAACCAACCACTTACCAATTCGCTTTAACACCTGGTCATCTTTCACAACAGACGTGTAAACAGAGCCTCCGTGGACTGATTACAGCCCCGTACCTCCCTCGTTCCCTCGGCTATGATCATTGACTGGTGTTCATTGAGCAGCACAGTGAGGAATGCCTGAGTTGATGTGCCCCCATCTTGCCCTTCTGTCAGGATGATTGGACATACTGGAATAGAGAAAACAGAATCAAGCCTTTCAGTGCCAGCACTAGACACATGGCCATGTACAACACCAAAGGAAAGGGGGGAGAAGTCATCTTAATACTGTATTGTTGCTGAAGAAAGACTTATAATGGATGTCATCCATAAAAAAATATAAAGCTTTAGTTCCAGTAAATGGAAACAATATTTAGGCTCGGTGGATCGTTCAAGGGACATCCAATTCGCCACTCTGCCCTTTGTCGGTAAATAACTTGGACAGACTTTAGGATTTAATGGGCTGTCATTTCAGTTATTCTGCAACACAGCCCGGGCACATGGAAGAGCATTTGGTGATTAAGTGCTGAATACTGTCTATTGTGAAGACTTTTGGAACAGTGAACGGAGGAAAAATAACTTTCCTTCCAACAACATGAAACATATGGTTTATTAATTTAACGAAACCTGTTCAAACCACAGTGGAATCAAAACCACTTGATCTGATAATTTGATTTGATGGCTTAAAGTGGCACTGCTTAATGTAATAAAAGCAAAGGAAACAGAACACTGGGGTGCCCGTATGCCCCTCCAGTCTCCTAAGTCGTGCCATATTTTTTGAAGGATGGTCTTTGCTTCTGCTGATGGAGCAATCTCTTTTTTAGCTACATTTTCAATGGTAAAGATTGCTTCCTGTTTTGGTTTAAAGCAGTTTTTTAAGAACATATACCACTGTGTGAGAATGTCTTTTTTTTTTTTTTTTAAGATTTTATTTATTTATTTGACAGAGACACAGCGAAAGAGGGAACACAAGCAGAGGGAGTGGGAGAGGGAGAAACAGGCTTCCCACAGAGCAGGGAGCCCGATGTGGGGCTCGATCCCAGGACCCTGGGATCATGACCTGAGCCGAAGGCAGATGCTTAACGACTGAGCCACCCAGGCGCCCCTGTGTGAGAATGTCTAAGTAACTAGCCTATTTTAAATCAGACTACATTGAGAAAGAGCATCCCATTTCCCACCCAAATTGGCAAACAAAGAAGTAAATCCATGATTGCTTTTAAAAAGAGTTTGACTTTGAAATTCACGGTTTTTTGCTATTTTGGGAGAAAATATTGATGTTCTATTTTCAGTTTAGTAATTTCTACTCACCAGATTAATGAGCTTAAATTACTTTATCTTATTAAAAGAAGCTCTGATATGAGCACTTAATTCCTTTGTAGGCAGCTGTCCTCCCAAAAACTCTTCAAAAAGTTATCCTGTTACTTTCAGAAACTTCCAGCACAGAAAAATGCTAAGAAAAAAACACTTTTAACACAGCTCCCATGGAGTGTTTTTCACCCCTTTCTTTTAAAAATAACTGTCATTAGCCATTACTTTTTAACCTTGCGAGTGATTAAAAAAGAAGACAAAAAAGTAGGGCTGTTTTAAGGATTCTCCATCATCTTAGGTTCTCATTCTACTGAAGGTCAGGGCATGCTGTAGCAAACATTTTTACATGCTTCAGCATCCTATGACTACTGTAACTTTATGTAAAGAGTTGGTATAACTTGCCTTTGATTGGTTGACATGAAGTTGATATTTAGTAGACATTTAATGTAGCATTAACTACTCTTACTTCATGGTTTGTAGTCAGTGAATTTCTTTTCACTTGTTAGACATCTTCAAATGCCACTGGGGAGCTTGTTGGTTCTAGAAGCTGTGCCTAAAGCACCAGTGGTTACACAGGCTATGTGGAGGGTGTTATAAGCCAGACGCTATGTTGGCCTCATCTGTTCATATGTCTTCTTTAATCCTGAAAACAACCTCCACCACTTTTCATTTCACTTTTTATTTACCAAATATTTCTTGAGCATCTACTGTGGACAAGTTCTAGGCACTAGCAATAAAGGTAACAAGGGGGCAGAGTCCCTCATCATGGAGCTTGTGTTTTAGTGGGGAGAGAGAAATAAACAAGTCAACTGACAATGATAAAGCTTCAGTGTTCCAAAGATCCAATCGGGTCATATTATAAGAGTAGTAGAGGGTGGTGAAGCAGTGGGGAAGAGATCTTCCCTGCATAGGACAAGAGGTGATAAGGAGCCAGCCCTGCAAAATTCTTAGAGGGCAAGGTCATTTGCAAAGGGCCTGAGGCATAGGGACCAGCATGGAGAGATGGGCTAATATCATGTCTGGAAAAGACTCTTCTTGGTATTCTTATGGCAGTGGGAAGCCTTTAGAGAGCTTTAAGAAAGGCTATGGAATGATCTGAACAGGTTTTCAAACCCATCTCTCTTGACTGTTATGTGAAAAATGTTTGCAGGGGACTTGGGGTGGAGCTTGCAAGACCAGGACACG